TCTGTCAACACAGCGAATCGGGTTGGTAGTAGTGATAATACTACGTAATTGCTTGTATGTGCGCCCGGCGACGCCTATCCTCGTAAAAAATAAGGTTGACTGCCATTCTATTGTGTATTATAGTATTCTATGTTTGAAACAGATTTCTTTCTAATCCTTATATTGATAATTGTTTAGGTCAAACCCTTATAGATTTATTTTTTATGTACATGTACGCTTCACAGAAGTTTTACATAGAAATTGTGCACAGGCTTTTACAAACAACCCATACGCAGAATGAATTTCTCAATGCATATCTCAATAGAAAAAAAAAATATGAATCGTAAAGTTATTTATACGCCTGGTCAAGTGTACGAAGTTAATGAACGAAATCAATCAATCCAACATTTATGATTTTAACTCTATCATCATCATGATCATCATTACAGCCTCTCACAAGTCCACTGCTGAACATAGGCCTCCCTCAAGGAATGCTACGAAGCACGATCCTGAGCCACCATAGTAAATAGAAATAGGGTATTTTACACCATGTAAAATAAAATCAAAAAATATATATTTATGATGGATTTTGTAAAACGTAAACGAGAGATATTGATTTCTGTTTATAAAACATTTGATTATCAAACAAATCAAATAATTAATTCTAGACTTTTTTCTTTTTTTTTGAATAAACGTTACCCCTCCCCCTCCACTAGGATTTTCTCCTGTATCGTGGAGGCAGTTTACAAACATAATTGCACAAGGACAAACACACCAGACTCGGAACAATTATTTGTAGCCCATACAAATACTTGTTCCGTGCGGGATTCGACCCCGCGGCCCCCAGCACAGCAACTCTTCGCTAAGCCACTGCGCCACGGAGCTTGTTTATTTTATCAATTTTATACAATCTTATGCTGGGGCCACACCAACGAGAAATGCCTTTAATTATTGCGGTGATGGACGTTGAAAAAGGCGACATGATGATTGTTAACAATACTAAACAATAAACCATTTCATCAACATCCTCCCGTTCATTGCCTTTCCTTTTTTTAATTAGTCTTTAGACTGAGTCAGATGAATCTGTAATAGTCGCATAGACTAACAGCGAAAACATCCCGAAAATAGAAGAGTCACTCACTTTATCGCGTTAAATTTAAAGCAATTATTGCTGCGTTTATTTGCGTTGACGTTTTCCGTTAGTGTAGCACCAGCATTAGCACGTTCGCTCGATGACGCAGCCATATGATGGTCGCGCGGTGGGCTAAGCGTCAAAAAATGAATATCGACAGTCGATATTTTTTTCAATAAAAGTTTTTATTTTTAATTTTTCATTTCATTTCACCATCGAGCACGTAATTCAGTACCTACAGGGATCTAACTAGGTTAGTTTGCTTACAAATAAAATTTTAGGGCAAGCGCTTATTTCGCGGGTCACCGCCGCAGCTTTTCACCAGGGTGATTACGAATAAAAGTTACACCTTACAATTTGTAATTACTTTTTGTATTTCTGTTTAATAAAAATTATAAATTATCAGCGGGTAAAATATTTTTCACTATTACTTTTACAGGTTTGTATCTTTATCAAGCAGTTTTTAAAGTACAATACGAGTTCACATTTTTACAAAGTTGTCAGGTTGTAAGGTATAGGTAGTATAATCTGTATTAATACGTGAGGTGAAATTTTTGTACCTACTCCTTTATAAGCATATATTGCGCGCATGAAGGAATGTGATATGTAACATAGTTAAAGTTTATATGAAGAAGGAGTTTTAAAAGCATAAAAAATAGGTATATGTAATATGCTTTAAAAATATATACATTAAATAAAATAAAACAAAACTGGTCATAACAGTAACTTGCTTTAGTGATTGTTCTGAGAGTAGTACCTACCTACATTGTTTACGTTAATACTGCCAATGTCAATAATATAATTGTCGCTAGGACTTGTTTTTTTGACGTTCATACGTCAGTGTCCCAAGGTAGGTACTCTGTATGTTATTAGTTATTACTTTAAGGTCAATGTCAAAGATTTAATAGTCCCTGGTCAAACAACCGCGCAGAATAGAGATTGTCGCCAAGGAATTCGAAAATATTGCAAACAAAAATAATTACTGACAAATGATTGAATGAGCTAAGAATTTTGTGTGATTTCAAATATTCCTTTTTTGACCACTAGGCGATCATTAGCACTTTTTTAATTTTCGTAAGGTTATCGTTAATTAGAATTTTGAATTGCAAATAGCATTATGGGTTCTGGCGGAAACGAACTTGTTTTGCTTGTCTTGTATAAAATTTTAATACAAGCGAGCTACCACGGGTTCTCCATTATTATATTATGCCAAGTAAAAGTATTTTGCCTCAGAGTGAGATTAGAATTCACAAAATATTTATTATTATTATGTGGTATTAGTAGTGTATTCTCATCTGGTTGGGCTGAATAAATATATAAAAGGAAATGATAAATATACATAAATATATATTTCATATACCAGCACAAATAAATAAGTAATACATAAATAAATAAAAGCCCAACCAGATGGAGGCCCTCGGCAGGGGGAGATCAAACGGCCGACGGTTAGGGGGAAAGGGAGAAAAACCGGCGGACGATGCGGGGGGAAATTATGCACAGGGTATCCTATTCCTTTAAAAGAGCAATTCTTATATATATATATATATATATATATATATATATGCCTGTTTCGGATAAGTGCTACAATATAAGAAGGTAAATTTTGACATGGAGTTAATGGTTGTAATCGCTCAAGTGGATATCGAGCGGTCGGGAAATCGTAATACCATGCTTCGCGTTCTATCTTCGGTCCGACTTTTTTCCCTCTTTTGTGAGAAAATCTATTATTTCGAGCCCTTTCTTTTAGTATTTTTTAAAAATACGAAAATTTTAATTAAACTAATTGCTTAAATTTTTTTTAATTAAAACCGAGCAAAGCTCGATCATCCAGGTACTTTTCTTTTATAATGAAAAAATCCACATTAGATTGAAGAATGTTTCGAACCTTTTCTAAATCAAAAACTACTTGCATCTGATATAGACTATTCTTAATCTTTAATTTTTCTAAGAACAGATTTATTTTTTAAATGACTGTCATATCATTATATACTGCAAATTTGACACATGTCTTTCGTTGGTCGATGAAAAGAAATATTAAATTTAGTATTTAATATCTGTGTGTATTGATATTGATATCAACCGTTGGGGAAAAAAGCGAAGTGTAGGGCGACCTCCCACTAGATGGAGTGACGACCTGGTACGACATGCAGGAAGTCGATGGATGCAGGTGGCTCAGGACCGTGCTTTGTGGGTTATTCCTTAGGGAGGCCTATGTTCAGTAGTTTACTTGTGAAGGGCTGTAATGAAACATAAAATAATGTGTATTGATATTCACTGGCTAATTTGATACTTTGAAAATGTTCAATTTCAGACATCCAATCTATAAAGAGCCTATACAAAATGTTTAGATTTTCCAACTAGTATTGTTTAGTAGATTATTCCGTTAAATAATGTGACTCTATACAAGGAAAGGACTTATTATTCTGTACTACAAAATAAGGTTTTATCTTGAATTTACAAGGCCGATTCGTATGCTTACCTCAAAGAGATTTAAATATACATACTACATACTTAAATGTCTTTGCCTTACCTCTTAAATCTAAAATTTGTTCATTGTTAGTAAGCTTAACATGGCAGTATAAATGACTCGCTCTTTAATTCCTCACGTATTTATAAACAGAGTTTTACAAACCTTAGTTTTTAAAGCACTGTCATTATTCAAAGGCAAAAAGTAAATTACTTTGCTCTTTTTGATGACGTAAAAACAAATAAGGAAACAACCTTAAGGAACGATATGTGCGTTTCGTTTCATTCATTACAATAGAGTTTAATTTAATTCTTGTAATAAATAAATAAAATTAAAAAATAATTAAAATTAAAAAACGTTACATTTTACCTTATAGCCAATTGCCGTATTTTGTAATACGGCAGTAAAGAGCCTGCCGTTTGCCGTATTTATTGAAAAATAATCGTGTAATGGTAAATAATCCTAAAATAAACGTTGCTATGAGGCAACGTTTAAAGTTAAAGTGGACTTTTGATAGGCTGTAATGATGAAGATGAATAGTTTACGATAAATGAACTAGTCACGCGACTGAACGTTGAGTTATGTAATTCCTATTCCTTTTTCAGTTTTAATAGCGTCGACGTAGAAAGACAACTTGGCTAGCCCCGCTGGTATGAACACGAGATGGTTTTACCAAGAGAATCCCTGAATCCCTGATTCCCAGATTCTCTTGGAATTTTCCTAATCTATATCGCCTCTAGTGATAACCACGGGATGAGATAGAGTGATGGTTTTTCTTATATACATACGCACACTCGTACATTGTCAGATATATTTTATTCGCCATAAGGCAGCGGCGTTATGAGAATCAATTTAAAATTGAATATTATGCCGTTATAATTGCGTAAGTAAGTTTTATACGTGTATATAGACCAGGAAGGACCACGATCTCACAAAATACCAGCGTAAAATAGCACTTTAATACTGCTGTGCTTTGTGTGGTGAGTTTAGAGAACCGGAATCCCATTTTACTGGAACCAGGTATTCCATCTTAGTCCTCAGGGGTGACAACGCATCTGCAGTTTGATTCTAAATCGAGCATTGATTTAGTTGTCTATGGGCAACAGCATTCACTTACCAAGGTGGACTGTGTGCTGGTATGGATTAGCATCAGAGGCTGGAGCAATCTTATAGCCAATTTAAGACTTTGCAAGTAAGCTTTGTGATCTAAACTGGTTTGTTTATAAAAGTACTGATCAATAAGTTATTAGAAACATCCATACCCGGTGCAATTATTTGTAGCCCATACAAATACTTGTTCTGTGCGGGATTCGAACCCGCGGTCTTCAGCGCCGTAACTAAATGCCGAGCCACTGCACCATAGAGCCGTCTATCTTTATATAATATTTTGTAATTACGTATATAATAAATTTTTCGCTTTAGGGTGATTTTAAAAGAACAATGGGTAAAGTAGCTACAACAGAAGCTCTGCGCTTCATGGTGGATTGTTTGAAAGCGGCCGGTGCTGCTAGCAATGCTGCACAACAGCAAGCGGAGCTGCTCATACAGGCCGATCGCCTGGGACATCCCAGCCATGGGCTTAATAGACTTGGTAAGACAATGAATCTATACATCTATAGTATTTTGCTCCTTTTTCTTCTTTGCACAATAAGTAACTGCATTTTTTTTTTTTGGAAAACTTACAGCTAACATTTACAGTAAATGAATAACAACTGGAAACGCATTTAAAAGTTTTTATCTATAGACAATATGAGCTTAAAAACAATAATTCTAGTCAGTAAAAGATAAGAGTAATTTAGAATCGAAAAACACACCAAGTTCTTTTACTGATTGTAATCTCCCTATCTGATGTCTTATAATTTGTATTAAAAGAGAGTGGGGTTGTGTTTTTGCGGGTAAAAGTAAGGATAAAACACTTGTACACATTCAAGTTCATTGAGGTTACGTTGCAGACCAAGGCAGTGAGAAGTATTTGTGATGGGACTTAAAATTTTCATATTATCATCATAAATGATTACTTTGTAGTAAATGAATATCATATATCATTTATAAAAATTGCAAAAAGCATTGGACATAATAGCGATCCCTGCGGTATTCCTAAAGGGATTGCACAGGCTCGCCTGACAACGATCCTCAATGTAAGACTTAAACCACCTAAAGAGATCGCCACTGATATTTATTTCGAGTAGTTTGCTGAGGAGTTTAACGTAATCTAACGCTATACTGTAGACTACGTCAACTTATAAGGCTCAAACATGATGTAAGATAAATAGTCAGAATAGACCAATAAGGTTCAAAACAGCGGATCTACATTTTAAGAAGCCGTGTTGATAATCACTGAGTATTTGTTTGATACCATGATATACAGACTAGTACACGATTTTCTTAAAGATTTTGGTGAAAATACAAAGCTTCGATATTGGTCTATAGTTTAATAAATGCAGATTTCCAAATAAAATTTACTGTTCCTTCCTTAAGAGAACGTCGAGTATTATTTTTTTAAATACTGGTGACAAACGAGCACACAGTCCATCTGATGGTAAGTGGTACAAAGATGTTTTACCACTGACCACGTATTACAAATAATATCCCCTTAGTCTGATGATATATGTCAATATTTCATTATAGATAGACAAGCTTTTGACGTTTTTTTATATTTCATGAAGGATCCTTGGCATTTTTATTTATGCTCAGTTCTATCTTCGCTATATAATTGTTGAACATTTCGGACTCTAATTGGTTGTCGCGATTGCGTAACATTTAAAAGAAGACAAATTGTCATATTTTTATATGTGTATCACAAATTGGTACAGAAATAAACTTTATATTCAGAAAATCTTCTTTAATTCTGCTTCGGCTTTTTTTTAATATGTAGGAGATGTCGCATTCTTTTTCATTAGAATTGTACAGTTTTCATCTGTATGTATAAGAAGAATTTTTCTTCCTAGCAAGAGCTTTCGCCTTATTAAGTAGCTGTTTATTCTCAAACCCGAGAGAGGAGAGCAGTTGGTCATTGATGAAAATCCTGCCATCAATGCTCAATCCAAAAACCGCAGCAGTTAAAGATTTACATGGTTTAGCTGTAGTTATAAAATTATCTATCAGGTAACAAGTGTGAAGTGACACAATGATGTTTTTGCTGCGAAGTAGTTGATTTGTTCCTTGGGAGCTAACCTATTTTACTGCCAATATTGGATATAATAGTAAAAAGATCCTCAAACGAGTTTACAGGAACGCCTTTGATCTCAATATTATTCAGCCGGGATATTTGCTGATGTTCAACACGTACAAAATCTTTTTTAGTTTTTTTGAACAGACTGAATTTCACGATCGATCTTGGATAATTTCCTAGTGAGTCCCTTTACCGATGTATGCACAAAGTTCAAGGAGGAGGAAGATCTGAAAGGTCAGCCTGGACAGTCTTGACGATTGACTGTTGTAATGACAATATTTCTTTGGTAATCTTACTGAGCTCAAGACAAATATTCTCAAGATCACCGTGAGATGGTACTCTTCCTCCTGTTTTACTGGTACTGCATTTCCAAGTAGCTTTTCTGTCCACAAGTTTGCAATATCCTACCTCAGTTATTATTGCACTTTATATCGAATCGTTTGAAACACATTGTACACTGCACACCGTCCCTGGTTTCACTATTACACCGGTGGCATATAAAAATGTCCGATAAGATAAAGTTTGAGAAACTCTGACAACAAAAACACTAGCGGTCGACTGACAACAGCGCAACACATACGTTTGTTGCGTTTACCGTTTGCCTACCGACTGACATCGTCTGAAACACCTTGCTCACTCTGTGACGGATAAAAAGTGGTGAAATTGGATCAAATCTTCTACTTAATCATCTAAAACACAGAAGAATTATTCAACATATTATGGAGTAAGTTGTATGACTTCGTAGTGTCTGCATATCCCTCTATAATCTTTCTTGGAACCAAATTACACTGCCGCAGTGCTGCTTCCTATAGCTAGAAATTTCTGCAAAAATTATTCGTAATTTTATTCACAACCATGATTAAAAAAATGTCCGTGAAAATCCTGGATGGGGAAATACTTATGTCGTTTAAGAATAGTTATTTTTGATCAAAAAAGGCCAAACTTTATGCTTTTTGGAAAACCAAGATAAAAAACTAATGAGTAGTAAAAGAAATCATTTACCTTGCAACGGCAACAATGTTATTAAATAAGTACCTAGAACGGTCATGTTCTATGAGGAAATTTAATTCTCGTAAGTCTGAAAATAAATCGTGCAGATATTTCCAAATAAATTTACTTAAATTTATCGAGGTTTACTCTACTTTTCAGAGTTCTACGTCAATGACATCTTAAGTGGTGCCTGTTCACCAAACAATCAACCAAAAGTACTCAAAGAGAGTGCGTCAACCGCCTGGGTGGACGCGAACAATGTACTCGGGGCCACTGCAAGCCATTTTGCTATGGATATCGCTATCAAGAAGGCTAAGGAAACCGGAGTTGGTTGGGTCACTGTAAAAGGTGAGATTCTATAGCTTTTGTTCATACTCACCATCAGTTTTCTTAAGCCAACTGCTGGGCATAGCATTTCCTAAGAATATGCTGTCAGTCATAATATATTAGTACTTGAAAGAACCATACTCATTACGCTGATGCTCAATCTGCTTGCTGGCATGTTTTGTAAGTGCAAACCTTGTACCTGAAATAAAATTATTTACGGATTTTATCGTATTTAGTGTTTTTATTAATTTCTGACGTTTCGGGCACTTTACAACACTGAAGCTCCGTTTAGATCTACAGAAAAGGAGCTTGCAAGACACGTGGCATTGCAGAAAAAATAATATTAATTTATACACTTTATATAGATAGATATATTGATTGACATCTAGCGCACGCAAGCGGAGCGTGTCCGTGGTCGGCCCCGGCCAGCATTCTCAACAAGAATGTTTTGTCTGTGCTGGTGCGTGTCTGCGCGTGTCTGCTGCAGTCACACGGCTTGTATGAATGTGATCGCAGTTAAGAATTCAAATGAACTTTATATGATTAAAACTATTTTTACGAATTTTATCCCGTTTATTTTTACTTTTTATTTACTTTTATTTTTAATTCCCGACGTTTCGGGCGCTTTCCAGCACCCATGGTCACGGGGGACTTAGATGACTGACGTCCCGATGTCATTGTTAAACCCGGAGTACCTTCAGCTTTTTTAATTATTGTTTACGGTCCGATCTATGCAAAATGAACTGACTATGTCCTGAAGTCTTGCAGTGGTATGCTTGGGTTTAGTTTTAATTTTATTGATTATAGGATCCCAAGCAAGTGGTAGTACCCAGCCTCCTTCTCAGTTTGTGATCATATCCTAGATGGACCCAACCATTACATCAGATTTGATAGACCACAAATCCTCGCGAAAGAACACCGATTCCTACCAAGGATGATACGTGAGGCTATTGAAATTAAAAAACATCCTAATTTCAATAGAGAAGGAGGCTGGGTACTACCACCTGCTTGGGATCCTATAATCAATAAAATTAAAACCAAACCCAAGCATACCACTGCAAGACCTCAGGACATAGTCAGTTCATTTTGCATAGATCGGACCGTAAACAATAATTAAAAAAGTTGAAGGTACTCCGGGTTTAACAATGACATCGGGACGTCAGTCATCTCAGTCCCCCGTGACCATGGGTGCTGGAAAGCGCCCGAAACGTCGGGAATTAAAAATAAAAGTAAATAAAAAGTAAAAATAAACGCGATAAAATCCGTAAAAGTAGTTTTAATCATGTATAATGTTCGCGTAAATATAAGAAATCATTATGAACTTTATAGTTTTCCTGATAATGTCAGTTAATACCGGATGTGCTAGATTGCTAGATGTGAAAACTGTTGTCTGGGCTCGCTACGTGCTGGTAGATCTGAACAGAGCTTTATAGTCATGGGGCAGGTGTATGACTTCCTGATGTCATAGTTAACGAAGGCAGCTTTAAACTTTTAATTATTAATTTCTTTTTGGTTCGATGTACAGAACGATCCTTCTAAAATCCTATCGAAAATCCGTTATTTTTTTTATTTCTAATATAAGGAATCATTTTGTGAAAATTTATACCTACTAGTCCCAATCACCAATCATATTTATAATAGATTTGCCGCCATCAATCAGTCTCAAAGCCACCTGTCAATCAGCAAGTTGCGGTGCGTGTATTCTCCCTTAGCCCTTCAATCGAAATAAAAATCCCATTCAGTCGCATGCGCCCGGCAAATCCCGAGCGGTCGCATGCGACCGCACCCACCCACAGCACTTAAAACCATTAAAACTTATATTTAGATACTACTTTTCTATGAAGAAGTTTGGCATTATAAAATCTATGCAAAATTCTCTATCCTGTGGTTTAAACAAATGTCAGGTTTTACTATTAAAAAGATTTTCCTAGGAGGAGGCGTATGTAGAGTGGACTTTGAAGGGGTGATGATGATGATGATGATACAAAAAGATTTTATTGTATTTTGATAACAAAAAAAAAAACATACCAAGTGAATGTCGGCAGCGTGAAAATCACAATTATTTCAATATATATTACTCGAAATTATTTACGTAAAAAGATAAATTATATTCACACAAAAACTTTCATTACAATTTAAGAATGAAACACTATACTAAAACTCTAATAAAACACTACAAAAATCCAAAAATCAACACAATAACATTCACGCAAAAATGGCGTACCAATTGAATGTAGATTATGAATAAATGTCCATAGGATAACTGCTTTTTTTTATTATACTAGAAGATAGCAAATTTTATATTGTTTCTATAATGCCAAACTTCTTCATAGAAAAGTAGTCTCTATATATAAGTATTTATGGGTTAAAGTGCTGTGGGTGAGTGCTAGGGGATGGAGAGGTCAGGCTGACATATATGTATGTACACTACTTTGATTTTGCTCAGACTTTACTTTTGAGCTAAGACAATGTCGGTATTTATAGAGTAAACTTCGAAATCTTGCTGAGTGCACGCTTAGCACGTATGAGCTTAGCTTAATCTTAGCCCGATACGACTATAAATTCAGAATCAAAGATTATGCTAAGTATATACTCAGCTAAGTTTTCGTAAGTCAAGTCTGAGCAAAGTCAAAGTACGATCTATATAGATCTCTCAACCTTAGTGTCTTAAGAGGTTAGAGTAAGTCAGCTCAAATTCTAATTTCGCCCCCACTTGCCCGCGCGTCGTATGCTATGTACCGACATGTTTGTAATCACTAATACTCTAAGTAGATAAGTCGTTAGATACTTATTTCATTAGGTTTATCATATTTATGCCTGTTTCTTAAGGACGCGTTTACAAAATGGATAGGTATAGAATCGCACTACTACATTGACAAAAGTCACACACACACTAGTGTACGCACGGTTGGCTGTGTGAATCGTAGTCAAATGAAATTATTTTGATAATTTGAAAGATTGAATTTGTTTTTCATTTCTTATACCTATCTCAGAAATATACTTCGATACGAAATATGAATACCTGCTCCAAAGACTGCTTGGCACTGGAAGCCCTCTACTGGTAGTGAGATGTTAGCTCTGGACTTTGAACTGGTTTTGTCAGTTATAATAAGACCTTACCTACCTGCGGACTTGATGGTGTGACCTGAAGGTGTAATTTGGTGATTACAACAGGAACTCCTAGACTAGTGGAACTGGGTGTGCCGAGTTTGGGTTTGTTTTGTTGGTTATGATGAGACCTTACCACCGGACTTGATGGAGTAACCTGAAGGTGTAATTCGGTGATTACAAGTGGAACGCCTAGACTAGTAGAACTAGGTGTGCCGAGTTTGGGTTCGTTTTGTTAGTTATGATGAGACCTTACCACTAGACTTGATGGAGTGACCTGAAGGGGTAATTCAGTAACTACTGCTGGAATTTCTGAACGAGTAGAACTAGGTGTGCCGAATTTGGGCTCCGTTTTGTTAGTTATGACGAGTCCATACCTCCGGACTTGATGGAGTGACCTGGAGGTGTAAATCGGTGATTGCAACTGGAACTCCTAGACTGGTAGAACTAGGTGTGCCGAGTTTGGGTTCGTTTTGTAGGTTATGATGAGACCTTACCACCGGACTTGATGGAGTGACCTGAAGGTGTAGTTCGGTGATTACAAGTGGAACTCCTAGACTTGTAGGACTAGATGTGCCGAGTTTGGGTTCGTTTTGTTAGTTATGATGAGACCTTACCACCGGACTTGATGGAGTGACCTGAAGGTGTAGTTCGGTGATTACAAGTGGAACTCCTAGACTTGTAGGACTAGATGTGCCGAGTTTGGGTTCGTTTTGTTAGTTATGATGAGACCTTACCACCAGACTTGATGGAATGACCTGAAGGAGTAATTCAGTAACTACTGCTGGAATTTCTGAACCAGTAGAACTAGGTGTGCCGAATTTCACTCCATCAAGTCCGGTGGTAAGGTCTTATCGTAACTAACAAAACGACCCCAAACTCGTCACACCTAGTTCTACTAGTCTAGGAGTTCCATTTATAACCACCTGATTACACCTTCAGGTCACTCAATCAAGTCCGGTGGTAAGGTCTCATCGTAACTAACAAAACGAACCCAAACTCGGCACACCTACTTCTACCAGTCTAGGAGTTCCAGTTGGAATCACAGATTTACACCTTCAGGTCACTCCATCAAGTCCGGAGGTATGGACTCGTCATAACTAACAAAACGAAGCCCAAATTCGGCACACCTAGTTCTACTCGTTCAGAAATTCCAGCAGTAGTTACTGAATTACCCCTTCAGGTCACTCTATCAAGTCTGGTGGTAAGGTCTCATCATAACTAACAAAACGAACCCAAACTCGGCACACCTAGTCCTACAAGTCTAGGAGTTCCACTTGTAATCACCGAACTACACTTTCAGGTCACTCCATCAAGTCCGGTGGTAAGGTCTCATCATAACCTACAAAACGAACCCAAACTCGGCACACCTAGTTCTACCAGTCTAGGAGTTCCAGTTGCAATCACCGATTTACACCTTCAGGTCACTCCATCAAGTCCGGAGGTATGGACTCGTCATAACTAACAAAACGGAGCCCAAATTCGCCACCCCTAGTTTTACTCTGCAAGAAGTTCAAATAGCGGTCACGAAAGTACACCTTCAGGTCACGCCATCAAGTCCGGAGGTAAGGTCTCATCATAACCAACAAAACGAGCCCAAACTCGGCACACCTAGTTCCGCTCGTCCAGGAGTTGCAGTAGTAGGTAAGTTTATATATTCTACTTATTTTTAGCTAAATAAAAAACTGTGAGTATAAAAATAATAATTTTATCACTTGTCAAGTACTTATGTTTCCAATTTGTTTTTTTCTAATATTTTGTGTATGTACAGCGATCTTTTCAGAATGAGCCGCTGCAAACAGGCGATACAGTGTCCACTCACGACGGCGGCCGAGCGCGGACTGTGGTTTCATCGAAATCTTTGTACAATAAATCAAAGCAGGCACCAACAATAAAATAGCCCTTATTGCAAT